CCCCTCCTCTTCCACGGAGACATCTTTGCTGTTGGCGGCGATAAACTTAGCGGACTCCAGCGGGGACGGGAACGCCTCCATAGCTCGGCCGCCTCTCTGGGGGGGACAGGAAACACGCCTTCAGCGCCAGCCCCGCCGCCGCGCCCCGGCCGGCCCGCGGAGCGCCGAGCAGGCAAGCGGGTGGGCAACAGGTCTACCCCGCCGCCGTGCACCGCAGCGCAACTGGCGCCCTCCGGCCCGGCGCACACCCGGCCCTCGTCCGCGCCCGGAACGCTGCCTCTTACCGCCGTCGGGAACGGCGCCGCCCCTCCCGCCGCCGGGGCGGAGCTTGGGCCGTGCGGTGGGGCCTCGGCGGCGCCCCGCGGCGGAAAAGAGAGGCGAAGCGCGGCTCTCACCCACGCACCGGGGGAAAAAACACACCAACCCGCTCCCACCCCGCGTCGCACAGACCCACGCCGGTGCATTTTAAAATCTGTTTTTATTCAGGAAGTGAAATTAAAACTTGTAAACTATAAATACAAATGCCAACGTATTAGATGAGATATCCAGAGGCTTTATATTTTTCTTTTTTTTTTAATTTCTCACAAATAATTCCTATGGAATTCAACATACAACAAGGAAACCAAACGAAGTTTAAGTTTTGCATACAATGAAAAACAAGTTACAGAGTTAGATACCGTCAATTTGCCAATTTATAAGAGTTGCTATCTTATACAAATGAAAGCTCAGAAAACAACTATTATTTCATTCAGTATAATGGTACAGCAACTGTCATGTCTAACAGTGTTATCTGCATTAAGCAAGCTGTCTATAACCAGGTGTACTTTACCACTGTTTACTCAGTGACATCACGAAGTTTTTAAATATTTTATTTATATACTGTCACCAATATATATAAGTACTGCATAAAGGGCCAAACACTTGCAAAAATGTCAGGTTTTACACAGCATTTGCATGAGTATTTTTGCAGTTTTTCCCCGAACAGCAAAGCAGAGTCCTTGATTTCACACAGTAATTCTTTAATTTGTCGATAAAACCCACATAAGTCCATCTATATCAAAGAAGCAGAAGAGCAAGCATAAAAGCAACTTTCATTTGGGGGGGGGGGGAAGGAAAAGATATCCATTTCAGATACTACCACCTTATGTATACCTCAATAAAAATGACCACCAAGAACAGGTTCACTAAATTTATTTAAAAATCATAAAATGTTTCTTACAAAAGAGCATTACATTCTGCACACTGCTCTCAAAGTATGCCAGGGACACATGGGCTACCAGTATTCTCTCCCGTTTAAAAAAAAAATAAAAATACAGTGTACATAAAAGCAGGGTGTTCACAACAATTACAGAAGAACATTACAATTTACCACCAACAAGGAACAAAAATAGAATTCACTCTCTCTGCTGCTGCTTCAAAACTTCAATGTTAGTCTTGTGCGCCCTTTCCCTCCCCCCACGTATCTGTAAGGAACTAAAAACATTACATCTGGTGGACAGCAAAGATTCCACTACACCTCAAATGCAGAACACCTATGAAGCAGAGGAATGTTGGCTTTTTAAACAGAAGCAGATAAAAAAAAAAAGGGTGCAGGACTCCTTCAGTTCTTCACTAGTCTTAGAAAAACTTTCCAGAATACTGCTTCACACTATAAAAAAGAAAAAATAATCTTGCATTAGAATCCTTCAACATCTGCATACTGCTTCACACTATAAAAGAAAAAGAAAAAAGCATGTATTAGAATGATGGACCATACAACTTGCATCAACATTCACAATGACATTCTTAGAGCAGATTAAATTACAAATTCCCAATATATTTAAAAGTAAATAATTAAAAAATATTAATGACTAATAATTATGGGTATATTAATATATTTTAGGCATACGTAAATATTAGTAATCTGAAGCCAAACATTCAAGTTAACACATTAACATCTGCTATGACAGGCAACATGTTAATAAAGCAAAACTAAGCAAATTAAATCTGAAGCTGTTAATATTTGGCAGAAAAGACAAATCAATGCCAGCAAGGTGTGAAATGCTGCATAACAGCACCAAATCGATTTCAACTTGTCCTGTAGAGGCATGATCTGTGCCATATGGCAGACTGTGATTTGTTGTCAGTTTAGTTATCTAAAAACAACAAAATCACTAGTCTTCCACACAGAACCAGACCAACATCCACTGAAATCTTCTATATTTTCTACAGGCTCTATGTAATTTATTACAAGTAGGTTTTTTTGCAGCAGTTTTCACCAGAGAAATGAGAGGACTGCTTGGTTAAGGCGTCTTCCAGCAAGATTAGTTTTGAGGGTGTCTTCATTTTAATTAGAATGGAGAACAGAAGAGAATCAAGGCAGAACTACCACTGGAGAAGTTAGTTTCAAATAGTTACTTAAATCCTGCCTTCTAAAAACTGTATCACAGAGAAGAGCATCTTTAGAATGTACGTGTCAGTCAGTTTAAAGTTGACAGAAAGGACAACATTAAACTTTAACTTGCCTGTTCTGCAGTAAATACTGTGCATTTTGTATCTGGTCCTGTGTTCCCGTAATAGTTATTATCCGATCTTCTGAACCTTCTAACGGTTCATCAATTTTGATCGAAGCTCCCGACTCATGACGTATTTGTTTGATTCTCTGGCCTCCCTTTCCAATAATAGATCCTGCCAACTGGGGGAGAAAGCAAAGTATTAATTTCCCGATACGACCTTCCCTCTAAAAACAGTTATGAAAATCACAGCAGTGTTTAAGTAGCTTCTGTAAGTTTAGTTTTAAAATTTGCAATGGAAGCTTACTTCTTTACAGCCTCAAAACATCCCTGCAATATTAACTGCATAAACACAGGTGGGACAACACTGGGAGAACCAGTTGCTTATTTGCAAAAAACAAGTTACACAGACCATCTCTAGTACTGAATATTAAAAATTAGAACCAACTTCTAGTGTGTCTCTACAGAGAAGACACAAAACAAACACTCAAAGAATAGACTTCTGGTGATTTAGAAACACTTGTTTTATATTAGAAGTACTTATCAAGTACTCTCAATACTTTCAATTTACTTAGATAGTCTGAGAAAATGCTGTGACTTTTTTTTTTTGTTAAGAGAAAACACAAGTTGAAAGCAAGTCAACTTCACTTACATCTTTGGGAATCGTTACTTGTGTTGTGATGATGGGTCCACCAAGATCTCCATATGAACCACGCCCCCCTGCGTAAGAATAGTCTGATTTAAACGTATGCATCAAGCCCTTTAATAACTACAAAATGAAATACACATAAAGGTTCTATATGAACACTTACCATATCCAGAGCCACCCTCAAACTGTAAGAGAAAGAGAAAAAAGTCTTAAATAGTGGAAACCATGTTTCATTAACACATTTTCATCTGAAGTACCATATTGTTAACTTTGAGCCTATTTTATGCAAAAATCACAACCCCCAACCTTACCATAACTACAACAAATGTTGTGCCATCAAAGGCTTACTGAGGCAAAAAGGGCCGACCAGAAACAGAAGTGGTGGGCGGGGGAAATCTCAGTAACCTCTTGTCCTGCCCTGTCAAAACCTCCACAAGTAAGGCATAAAATGACATAAAGGATCCAGTGATACCTGTTTACCAAGCAGTTTCACTATTTCAGCTGCTGGTTGACAGGTCTGAATGCTGACCTACTCCTGACCCTTGGACTAAACTAGCATTCAAATTAAAAGATCAGAGTACTGCCTTATTAATGCTACCAATACAGCTCAGGAGAGATGCAAGTCTCCAGTTCTGGGACAAAAAGTTTATCCAATGACCGTCAATCCTCCTACTTAATCTATTTCTTCAAGACAAAAAATAAAGCTCTTAAGAATGGCTCTATAATTTGTCTCTCCATTCAGACTACACTACAATCCTTTGTATCTTACAACATGTAATCATGGCATGAGTTACTTCTGTTCTGCTGAAACAGGCACTCCTGGCCTCTTTTTATTTTTTACGATGTGTAGACCAGTATTTGACACCAAATGCCTCATTTCATCTAATGCCTTCTAGGTTCACAAGACCCAATTTTTATACTTTCCTATAGAAACAGAGAATAAATATGCACCATTCTCCAGAATTCAACTTCTGGGAGACTGCTGGGGTGGCCTCTGTAAAAAGAGGCAAGGGGCCACCAGAAAGGACTCACCACTGCCTAAAGCTGAGGCCATCGGCAAAGCTGGTGGCACCTCTGTGATAACATTTAAGAAAGGGCTGAAAAACCCCAGCGTGCACCAGTTGTGAGAGATGACCGAAGGCAAAAAAAGTGAGAGAAATAACCCTGCAGACACAACAGTTAAGAAGGGGGAAGACATGCTCCAGGCACTGGAACAGAGATTCTTCTGCAGCCCATGGAGACAACCATGCTGCAGCAGATAGCCACACTGCAGCCCACGGAGGATCCTATGCTGGGAGCAGGCAGACATACCCTGAGGGAAGCTGCAGCCTGTGGAGAGCCCATGCAGGTGCACCTGCCATGGGGCCAGTCTTTTTTCAGTGGTGCCCAGTGACAGGACAAGAGGTAACGGGCACAAACTTGAACATGAAGAAGTTCCATCCGAACATTAGGAGGAACTTCTTCGAGGGTGGCAGAGCACTGGAACAGGCTGCTCAGAGAGGTGGTGGAGTCTCTGTCTCTGGAGGCATTCAAAACCCACCTGGACATGCTCCTGTGCAACCTGCTCTAGGTAGACCTGGTTTGGCAGGGGGTTGGACTAGATGATCTCCAGAAGTCCCTTCCAACCCCGTATCATTCTGTGATTCTGTGACCTGTGGCCCACGGGGGACCCACACTGGAGCAATCTCTTCCTGAAGGACTGTACCCCATGAAGATGGCACAGGCTGGAGCAGTTCTTGAAGAACTGCAGTCTACTGGAAATGCCCATAATAGAGCAATTTGTGAACAAATGTATCCCACTCCGGAGAGTGGGGATCTCACTCCGGAGCAGGGGAACAATGTGAGGAGGAAGGAACAGAGACGATGCGTGATGAACTGACTGCAACTTGCCATTCCCCATCCACCCTGTACCACTCACGTCAGAGGAAGGAGAAGAGTAGGAAATGAAGGAGTGAAGTTGATCCTGGGAAGAAGTAAAGGGGTAGGGAAAGGTGGTTTTAGTTTTCCTTTTTGTTTCTCACCATGCTGCTCTATTTTTAAGTTGATATTCCCCCAGTCAACTCTATTTTTCCCACCACGGTAATTGGTAAGTAATCTCCCTGTCTTTACCTTGAGCCACAAGATTTTCCATCTTACTTTCTCCCCTCATCCTGCTGAGGAGGGGGAGAGAGAGAGCAGCTGGGTGGGCACCTGACAGCCAACCAAATTCAACTATCCACAACTACTTGGTTGCAGAAGTTCTAATGCAACAACTTTTCCCAAAATACTGTTTACCTGCTACCTTTTCAGAAGATCAAAATGGAAGCTGCTCAGACCAAAGAGCTGAGGTTACCCTCCATCCCTAAGCAACCTACACTGTGTAGTTACATTACTCAGCAATACAGATTGTAATGCAACATAACAGAGACTGTAGCAGAGTCCAGAATACAAGACAATGAAGGACTCTGCCTAGGACTTAATTTAGAGGCTGATCACAGCAGCATAAACACAGACATATTCCCATTGGTATTTGCCACAGGATCCATTTTTGGGCCAATCTGTTTTAAGAAACAAACAATCCTTTCCTTCATCATTTCTGCCTCCCCAGACTACATGACAGCAAATGAACTTGACAGTAGATGAGTTATGCAATTACATTTGCCATGTTCATGTAAGTTAAGAACTGACATTTAATATTTGGCAGAACTTTGTTATCTTCTAGAGACCATGAACACCTCACAAACCCCATATTTCCCTTCCCAAAACGTATCTGATCAGATGGTGTATTTTCAAATACATTGATAACTAAAGCGTAATAGTTTATCCACAAATGTAAGAAGCTACTGTCAATATTTGCTGTCTGAAATGTGAGAAAACACAACATTATGAAGTGAATACAGAATATATATCCTAGATGTATGCATCTGCAGTGCAGTTATAAAGTTACTATTTATAACATGAGAATGGGGTGTTAAGAGAGGCAAAAAGAGGTACAGAGAAGCTCCTCTCTTTTGGCTACACTGCTGCGTGCTCCCACTTTTCTGTTCACACTACCTGTCTGCACAGGACACACTGCTAGGATCAACTGCCAATACATGCTCAGTCAGAAGGACAAATTTATGATTTTCATTAAGTGCAAGTTTCCACTGACTACACTGAGGATCAAGAAATTCCCATTATCACTCAACCTATTCAATAAAGCACTTTTTAAAAAAGGCTGAGCACACTCACCAGCTCTGGTGGCTGCATGTCATCACAGGCATCCACATGGCATTGCATCATCTTCCAGACACAATATAACAGGAGGAAAAGAGGAAAGAAATCTAAATTACATCCACATCATGCAGACTTAGAGGTAACTTTCCAAGCAAATACAATACATACTTGTAGAGAGAAACATTTATACTACAACAAAGACTTAAAAGTATGTGATTTAAGACCACTTTCAGGGCTCGCTCTCTTCTAATTTTCCCTTGAGGGAACTCTTAAGTGGTCACTCTCACTTCTTCCCTCTTTCTGTGGTACAAACATATTTTTTTCTCTAACAAAGGTCAGGCAGCTAATGGCAGAGCAAAGGTTGAGCAAACGTTTTTTTTTCTTTTATAACACCTTCAAGTGCTATTACCTACCAAAATCTTTTACTTCTGCCATGTGTTAGCAAATGAAGGTCTAGTAAGATTGAAACAAGTAACTGTCAGCAATTATCTCTATGGCAACAGCAGGTCAAACAGGAAGGACAATGCTTCTCATGTTCATTCATTTCCATATACCTCAGATAGCCAATAACAAGACTAACAACCTGCTGCTGCCTAAATTTAATTATGCTTTAAAAATGTGATATGTAGGATTTCTTTCTTTCAGAAATCTACAGTTTTATCAATTGATGTTCATTTGTGCACTCTAAAACCAGCTTCTCAAACAGGGTATCTTAAGACATAACAGAATATTCTACTCTACAAACTCATCTGTGCTAGGGACTACTCATACTAGAATAGAAACCAAATGAGACATTGGCTGGATAAGGCAAGGAGCTTAACTTGTAGATCCAATGAAAGAAAATGCATGCAGTCTAACTGATATCAAATTCTTTCATCACAAATTTTCTCTGTTTTTTAACAGTGACCTAAGAGAATGAAATTGTTACTTTCTTCCAGCATCTGCATTGATAAATAGAAGGGTTGTCAGAATTCTTCCTTTACTGACTTTTTACATGCTTGTTAATGTCACATTTCTTAAACATGAAGAACATTTTGTATTCTTTTAAAATGTATGTGCCTTTATTCAAGTGTTCATATGTCAAGATGTGTTTATGTACACATACATATCTAAATTAAAAAAGAGATCAAGAATTAGGAAGCATTTAAAGGATCAAAAGCACATTAGAAGTCTGAAGACACAGAAGCCTGTGAAGAGACAACTAACTTAAAAGGAGACATTCTGATTTAAATCTCTATTAACTTAGATTTTAAAATGCTCAGTACTTAGAAAATTTTAGTACATAATCAGTTAATTAAAAAAAAAGGTGAGGGGATAGAATGACTTCATATGCTTGTCCACTTCATCTTCCACCCCTCCCACTACTATCTTTGTGCATTTATGCATCTGAAAGACATCTGAGGATGAGGGCCTTAAAGAAATACTAGAAATACATCCAGGCTTTTTCAACTGTCAGAATAGCCCTTATGGGCAACAGGCATTTGATTTGAAGTATTACACACTGAAATATATAGCTCTGTTAACAGAGAAACAACACAAGTCTATCCTTCAGCATAAAGCTTCAGACCAGAGACTATAAATCAAATCAACTATTTCAATGGCAGTGCATAATTAAACTACAACTGTAAGCCAGGCTAAGAGACAAGCATTCTCCTAAGTAGGTGACTCTGCATGGGCAAAGGAGAATTAACCTATCTTTTAAAATCCAAACAAATTATTCTCATCTCAGCACTTACAAGACTGTCAATACTGTCACCTCTAGAATTCTAGAAAATCCACAGTTCAGCATTTAGTTTTAAATGTCTTAACTACTCAACCTTTCTGCCTTTGGTGGAAAAGAGAACTGGCCAAAAAAAATTCTATATATTCAACATTTCCATGATTTTTGAGATGTTTATCTGAGAAAAGGATCTATTCCTGCCTTTTATTGCACCAACCACAATGGTGTTGGTTTACTCTAGTTAAGTGGTTTGATAAGAGAATGGTTTCTATATGAAATAAAGCGTAACATAGGAGGACCTTACATTTCTGGCATTACGCCTCCAGCTCCAGCCTCACAATCCATGTGAAGACTTCCTATCTGCTATACACAATTTAGCATACTAGGATTATGGTTTATTAAAACTAGAAATTAAATAAAGTCTTTGTTGGGAAGCAGTCCTCACTTTAAACAGGCTATCATACTTGATCATGAAGGAGCCAAAGCCATGAGATGAACAGCTCCACTGTGAAGAGGAAATAAACTTGCTTTTTGAAACAAAACAAAACAAAAGAACAGAGATGACTCCACTTACTTGCAGAAACTCATGTCAAGAAAATGAAGGTCAACCTGACAAAAGTCAGGCTAAAGAGAAGTCAAAATGGATTTTCTATTCTAGCTGGAATGTAATAAAAATAGAACACGCTACTGTCCAAGAGTCAAGCTAAGACTGTGCTCAACCAGATATCCAAAGAAAGGCACGCTGCTCAGTTCATACACTCCAGCACTTTATTAGCTGCAAACACGAAAACTGAGCTTTGAAAACATGTAAATACAAATAAAGTAATCCCAGGTGTGTACTACTCCATTCTTCTAGTTTCTTAACACGTAGAGTAGCATGGGTAACACTTTTTTTTGTAACTGTGTGCAGATCTTTCCCTTTTGTATTTCTAGTAAGCATGTGACAATCTTGTAATATGTACTTCCAGTAACTCTTACTCTGAAGTAGGAGGAAATGTGTACAGCCCATGTAGGTAGCCCATTTTATATCCCGTCTACACTCCTCTTTCATTCATTTAGAAGGAAAGAAAATAATCTTGTCTCACCTCTCATTTTAAAGGAGGTGCCGAGCAAAGCCAGAGGAGAAAAGAAGATTGTTACTTTGAGATCGACCTCCTAGACATGCATGATTTCTCCTCCCAGGAAAGAAGAATCTAGTGCAACAGTAAATGACTGCTGGGAAGTTGCATTTCAGAGTTTAACATGGAAGAATATCTTTAAGCTCATTTTTTAACTTCTATATACCATGAAATGCTTTTTCCCTCAGCATTAGTATTATGGTTGATTGTACCTAATTTAACTTAGGATTCAACTTAGATGTGGCTCTAGCTCCAAAACATTCGGAATTAAGTGTATTTTCTGCACAGAGAAACCAGCATATAAACATGAATTGATTCAAAAAAGCAATCACTTTCCAGATAAGCTAGAGCTCTTCACAGATACTATTCTATAATGTAGATTCTATCTATACTTCTGTGTTCCAACATCAGTGTTAAGAATGCTTGTATGAATCAAAGAACTTCAGAGAAGGTTGTTCTGATGTTCTGTACCTCAGCAGCCTACCAATTCCTATTTCTGTCATCCTCATTAAAAAAAAAAAATAATCTAAAAGACAGTCAATACAAGAAAACATGCAGGGTAGAGTACAGTCAAAATTTCTGCATCTGTTTTGATGGCAACAAGGAAAGAAGAGATCATGTCTCAGTTACCACTTACACCCTAAACATTCCTCCACGGGAAGGACCATCTGTGCAGACAGAACCATGCATTTCCCACAGTTAGGTGCATGTGTTCAGTAAGTGTCTTCAGACAGTCAGCATGCTAACTGTGCTACGAAACAGAACAAGGCAGATTTTAAACTCATACCATGCCATCGTAACGGTCTCCTGGTCTGCCCCTTCGGTCATAGGACATAAGATCTCTGAAATGAAAAAAAACCAGCACCACGTTAATTGCATTATAAACTAGTTCATCTATGCTAATTTAAATATTCACATTCATGGTTCACAAACAACCTAATTTCAAACTACTCTACTGAGTAACAGAAGAGTTTCAAAACTACTGTCTGTATATAGTCCTGGTAGATTACTACAGTGCAGAAAATAATTAAATTCCAGTACTTGTCAAAATATTTTGGTCTAATACACACTCACTAATAACCATTACCAACATGGAAGTATAGAAAAAACACCGGAAAGATGAACATGATCCAGGAGATAGTACACAACTTGAGTTTTGTATAATCCATTTATGCAACAACTCACCCGCCACGAGGAGGTGGTGGAGGAGGAAGAGGAAGATTACGAGCTCTGCTGCCACCTCTACCACCACGACCTGGTGGAGGTGGTGGAGGTCCTCTGCGAGGACTCATATCATCATAATCTCTTCTTGATGGAGGCATAGGTCGTCCACCGCGACCAGGGGGCATTCGATCAAAACCTCCTCTTCCACGCATCGGAAAGCCTACTGGACGTCCCCTTCTATCATCAAACATCATTGTGAAGCCACCATAGTCATACGTTTCATCGTAGAAATTGGGATCATAAGGCTGGGCCCGCCCTTTAATTGGAGACTGAAACACAAAAAACAATACCCCCAACCCAATTAGAACTATTACAATTGGCATACTTAATTAAATTAATATATTACATGCATAAATATGAATTTATGCACTTGGAACACATTCTTGATTTCACAATGCTGGTAAGAAAGGAGGAGATGGTGATGTCTTTCCTGTGAACTTAATGATAGAGAAACTGCTGTTACATAGCAGCAGCAAATAAATTTTGTCTCCCTTCCTCTTTCATTTTTGCATCTCAGTGATATGCAGAGGATGAATAATGACACCGTAGTACCAGCTTCCCTCCCCCCCAATAATGTGCACCCCAATTCCAAAAAACAAAAATGGTTTCAAAAGGTGGTAACAATCACTTTGCTACTTGGAAAGCAGGAGGTACTGAATTCAAAACAGAAGCTGAAAGATACCATTTTTAAATGATGCCTAACTTTCAGGAATGCAATGAAAGAATAAAATAAATTTAATAAACGTTACCTCAGAGATAAGATCCAAGATAATCTTGATACATTCAACAACTCTATCAGGTTTTCCACCAATAAGGACCACTCTGTCAGTAGAATGAGGACAACACTCTTGGAATAGCTTAATGGTGGTCTGAGTGTTCTGTTGAAGAAAAAAAATAATCCAAGATTGTCTAATATAAGGATTGTAAAAAATCTGATAAACCCATTAAAACATTTTTAAACAAACAATTCAAAATACAATTAAATTTTCAGCCATTCTAAGTACATGATTGCTTCTGAGTTCTCACAACAAATGTAATTTTAGGTTTTTTTTTTTTAAAATAAGATCTGCGCTGACATAGTCTTGGATGAAGAGGAAAAAATTTCAATTTTCTCCTTTTACTTGTGGACCACCTACACCGTCATTTAATTAAATACAAGCAAAAGGACCACATATACATTGCAACCTTACAGGTTGTATTAACCTTCACGTATCAAGAAAACATGCTTTGGATGCAAGACAGTGATGTTGCTATGATTATGCCTAATTATTTTGCCTTTCTCAACCCATGCAAACAGGTATTAGCTTATACCTGAAATTGCCTCTGACACAACGCCAAGAAAGGACAGAAAACAGAGGTGTTTTAAGTTCATAGAGACAATCAGCTTTTTAAAATCTCATTCCTTCACTGAAAGAAAACCGTGATCTTCCAGGAGGTAGAATTAAAAAAATATATAAAAATTAAGTCTTTTCACTGTGAAACTCAGACATCTACTGAATTATCATCGTAAGGGTTTGTGGACATGCATTCACCCTAAACCATTTTGCATGCCCAACCACAGAACTAAATCTAGATTATGCAGCAGTTCATTACAGAAGGAGTGATGAATGCCATTTTAATTTCAAAAAAATAAAATTTCTTTCCTACACTCCCACTTAGAAGCTTGACAAGAAGTCCTAGGCTCTATTACCAATGACTTGACTTCTGATGGTTTGCAAGAAAGTTGCAACTCACAGATCTATCTCAACATCAAAATCATGTACGCAGTATGTTCTGGAGGAATTACTGCACATTAGATACTTACACTTGCCCCTTATGAACACAAACACGAAGTTCTTTATTGAACAAAACCCAAATCTCATAAGAACAAGAAACAAGTACCTCTCTGAGTTCTTTAATTTTAGCACCCTTGACACCAATAATTCCTCCTGCCAAACTTTGGTGAATGAGAAGTCTTAATTCGCAGTCGAAGTCGCTGCCTTTGTAGTGTTGATACTGTAAAAAGGATGCATGTAGGGAAAAAAAAAAATAATATTAGTCACATAAGTTTTAAAAATATTTGGGGGTCTGGCAAGTTTTTTCTCCAAACACAATGGCATGACTTGGTTTATTGCTGAATTGTAGTCCTGTATTTCCTTTGATAGGATCAGAACTACTTAAGCACCTCACCCTCAACAGAAACTGATGGGAAATCAGTTTTCTTTATTACATTACATTCCACAACTTTCTACAAAGATGCAGGAAGATATCAAACCATGCAACATTCTTACTGACAAAGCCAATGCAGGATACAAGTTACAATATAACTACTTCAAAACAGGATGAAACAAGTCAGGAGGCAAGTATTTTGAAGGGGTGAGGCTGTTTGAAACATTTATTTAATAAACAGTGACTGACTTTGTCCTCTACCCCAAAAATGCCAACAGGTAGTTTGATAGCCATAACCCTTTTTTATAAAGCTTTTGTTTTTTATGTTCTAATTTACTGTATTTAAAAAGCAGCAAATCACGTAGAACCATCTTGTTTTAAAAGCTAATTTTTCACCTCTAAAAAGAAACAAACACTTAAGAGACATACCTCTTCTAAAGTAGGGATAATCTTCTTCAAGATTTCTCCAATTGTCTCTATATCCGCACTTATGCTCAAGATGCTGTTGGAAGCCATAATGCCAGACAATATGGAGAAGGTGGAAAAGAAAAAGTAATTTTTTTTTATCATCATACACAAAATTCTAGTAAGAGTTATTAGACAGAAGAGCTTACAATTAATATTCCCCATTTAAAGTAAACCTGTTTGCTCAATTTACAACACATGCATCTTTGTTTATGCCCAATATATATGCATGATAAATTTAAGATTAGGTAGGTCTTGCAGAGAGAGAGAAAGAAAGACAGAATGGGCTTTTGGAAGGGCTCAGATTAAGTGGGCAAGAAATTGACGCAGAACTGAAAGTAGAGGTGAATATTCATGTTCCCCGCCACCACTAATTTAGGAAACCCTCGCTATTTTATTGGTAAAACCGGCACACCTTCTCATAGAAAAAGTGGGGATATGCAAGTGGTGAACACTGTATCTGGAGTAAGGTTATGAGACCAGTTAGAAATCAGATTACTAATGGGCTCTCCAAGAAAACAAATACAAATGCAAGACAAAAAAAAGACAAAACAAATGAGAAGTGAAGGAAAGTGAACCAGAGTTAGCATTTCATCAGAAATAATTATGAACAGGCAATGTTGAGGGGAGCAAGGTGGGCCACAAAGACAGAGCGAGAGACTGTTTTGAAACAATTTGATTTACAATGCAGCAAATATGCAACACTTGAAGCTGTGCTCCTTCCATTGAAATAAAATTAGTGGATCGTTTGGGTGGGCAACTCACGTAAAAGTTCAGTGACAAAAAGACTTAATGGGGAAAATAAGACAGAAAACTTGAAAAAAAAAACAATACACCGTCTATAAGGGGATACTATTTAATCATATCAAAGGCAGGTAATAAAATACATTTCTCTCTTTCTAATCAGGCAGTGAGGCATAAACTGTTGGGACATACCGCTCGGGGCCACTGCTGTCTGGGACTGAAACACTGGCATTGTACTGCATTGGTCATTGGCGTTCGTGGATGTTGGCATTGGGCATGGGTATTCAATCGGAAGTTGTCAAGTATGGTACCCGTTTGGCAACGAGCACATTTTTGGGCATAGCCAACCAGGGTTTTCACATGGGCGTTCAGGGGCGGATGGGCCAACGTCATGGTGGGCAACGCAGGGGCAAGTCGATCCAGTACATGGGCAACGGAGATATATGGCCAAAAAAACAAGGAGAGGGAAAAGGGGGAAAAGCAATAAATTTTAATTTAATACAAACTATACTCATTACTCTCAATTAATGAAACAAGCTTAAGTTGCTCTGAAGACTAATACAATAATGGATTGCTACACCGACTGTGGCTTAACAGAATGGACCTTAAAAATGAGTCACTTGATCTGACTAAACTACTTTTTACTTTTAGCATATGATGTTTCAGTAGCAGGCTGGCTCATGAGGGTAGACACAGAACCTGTCGAGATTGGTTTTACTAGAACGTTGGGCAAATTGGGAAAGTTAGTTTTCCAGACCAATGTAAATTATCTGGACTTAGGTGACGTATTGATTTACTTGGAAAAAAAAAAAAAGGCAAAAATAATATTCACAAAAAGAAAAAGAAGCCCTAAAAGAAAAGATACAACTAGCTGCCGAAGTTAGTGAGCGTATGTATGATTCCTGACCACTTCAACTTAAACCTCAATTCTAGTTGCGGTAGTTTATGAACTTGGTTGGAACTGGCTTGTAGTGATGCATTGCCAAATTTTGTGTTGAACACGGTCTTGATCAGAAAAACTGCTGAAATTGTAGCTGATGTTAAGTGCAAGAGTGTAAACAAATGGAATTTAAGAAGCGTTGCCAAGTTTTATAAATACACAACATTAATGCTGAGCATGTGTCTAATCACAAGAGTCAACCCACTGTAAAGTGTGAATAGGCAAGTAAGCCATGACCATCTAGAAATGCTCCCAGGTAACAGAATAGGCTCTTCCTTTACTGTTCTATACCCATATTTAAATCAAGTAACCTTAATCTTAATGCTTTTGTGCTTCATGTGCAAGCTGTTAAACGGACCATTTTGTTTGCTTGCTTTTTTAAAGGAAGTTTAAGAATTCCTCTACCACTGGGTTAAGCCAGCCACCTGCAATGGTTTTGGTAGTAGTACAATTGATTCACGCACATGGGAAATGGCACAATTAAGGGGTTTAAGCTTTGTCAATATTTCTAATTAGGATGTTAACTCACTTGAAGTGTGTAATTTAGTGGAATCCTATTCAAAGGCGAAGAGATTTAATATAAACCTCTCTTCCCACAGGAGTCAAGCTGGGTTTTAATTATAAAAGAAATTGAAGAACTAAGTTATCTACTCTATCACTACAAATGGCTTGTAACTGGACTACTGGTGTCTTGAGTTGAATTGCTCCCATTTCTAGAAATGCAGGTAAACAAGCTTTTGAGGTAGTGCTCTGAAAGAATTGGTGTTAAATTAGTTCAAACTCATGTATACTCACGTCTGTACGAAGTGCCTTAATATTTTTTCCACCTTTTCCAATCACTGCTCCAGCATTCTGGAAAACAGTTTTCAGAAGTTACATTATGCCAACAAAGCACACTATTTTTTTTAACTCAAGACTAAGAATGGTAAATTTATTTTGCATTACCCTGTTGGCCAGTGGGGTAGGGGCAGGTGGGAAGTGCTTTCAAAAGGTTCAAATCAAATTGAAACAAATTGAAATAGCCTGTCCATGGAGAATCTGCCCAACAGCTCTTACCCCTGAACTTAGAAAAGGGAAGGATATTCAGTTTTGCAGCTAATATTTCAATTCCAAATGGAAGTCTCTAGGCAATTCTGCCTGTGTTACAGCAATCTCATACACTATAGCACTCAAAAACATATACTGTATGAATCTAATGTAAGTCAATAATTTCCCTCATTAATTTGATTAAGGTTTTTTGTCTGGTTTTTGGGCGTTTTTTAAGGGATTAAATTTGCAAATTCTACTTTTGCACACCGAACATTTCTTGGTAACTTCAAGTGCTAATTTTGGATTATACCTCTGTAACTTTGCTGACTTATGAGAGCAGTATAGTCTGAAAAAGGTTAAAGTCAATGTTAATAGCCAGTAACTTCAAGTTTCTAACACGAACAGGAATAAACCGGCAGATAGTCAAGAACAGTAATTGCAAAATTGTATTTTTACCAGGTTATTTCAAGAATTACATGGAGAAGTATTGCTTTTGTTACACAGATCATACCATATGTTAACAGCACGCCATGCATTTCGTGGTACCCCATGTCACTTGACTATAACACAGAAATGCTATGCAGTTAATGTAACATTCCCCCATACCAACGCAAAAGACTGAGATAGTTGAAAAAGTACAAGTGATCTGTAACAACTGGAAACACCAGAGGAAGTTCAACATAGCAACTTTACTGTAACTATTTACACTTTTTAAATAAACCACTGCAATCGCACATTTCTTTCTGTTGTTACATTTGAACAAGGGAGAGTTTACTAAAATCCCAAGGAAGTTCTCATCTTACCTTTCGTATTTAATTTACAATCACTAGCTGTTAATTCTATAAACTGCATCCTTTCCAAAGACTAATACACAGTCATTCCCCTCAAAATAACAACCTTCCACTCAAATACAAACATACCTTATCATTCCTACTGCTCTGCTTTTAAAGCAAATACATCTTTTAAAAATAACTGTATTGCTCCTTAGGGACGTTCCTTTAAGGAAGGTAATTCCATTGCAATACACTTTTACCACCATTCATGCACACTTAACTTACTAGGAGTAATTTTATCTCCTATTAAATAAAGTACGTATTCTGTATAAATACATATCCCAACATACACTTTGTCACCACTGCCTTGAGCAATTCTATAAGCAACAGAAGTGAAAACAAAAAAGCATACTTTGCTCTGAAGCAGGATGCGCAATTCAACCATCTCATCTGTGTTCCGAGATCTTTTGAAGGCCTGTTCTTCCTCCATATCTTCTGCAGGACGTTTGCCTGTAGAAAGGTCCATAGGGGGGAAACAACAAACATTTATTTAACTTTCTAAGTCATAACAAAATAGAACACACGCCAAATTTATGCTCTGTATTCTTATTATTAGTCTATTATTCTATTAGCCCCACACTAATTACTGATGACTACTCTGAGCATCTATAGCACGGAAACAGGTCTTTACTTCATCAGTTTACATATCAATTAACTACTGAAAATCCATTTTTAAAAAATCTATGAACCATGATTTAAGTGAGAATGTTGCACACAGCCAGTGAGAAAGTCATGACATGCTGCTTAAAGCAGTGCAACATCACCCACTTTGTATTTATTTATAATTTACAATTGAGAAAAACCTTCCAGGCTAAAAGCTCAAGTGTAGTTTGTCCAACATGAAAATACCAGTGGAATAATAATAAAGTACCACTTCAAATACCATTTGGAAATAAACTGGCACTAATCTAATGCCCTAACTTCCTCACCAATTATGCCAAATAAGTTTTACAGGAAGCTGTTTAGAGGTATTTCACATATTTACACTCCTGCACGTAAAAACTGGAATAAATAAAATGCAGTTAATGGATACAACCAATAATACTCTTACATATTCACACTCTCCAAACAAGCATCAAATATTTAACTATGAAATATTTTCAAATCCTTAGTCATAACTTTCAGCTATTTCTCCCATGCCTAAAACATACCAACATAAAGATTATACATTTATGCTTCGAAAGCATGTGTAATGACATGGTCTAACTAAAAATGAAAATATCTAATGAAGAATGCAAAACAACTGCTGATACAAACACCTGATACAGTTAAAGCATTTCAAAATATTTAAAAACATTGAAATACTGAGGTTCATTCTAAAAATAAATAGTCCTTTAAAAAATTTACCATTTGTCTCTGTGTTGGTAAAGGTCTCTTCCTGTTGTTCCGTCTCCATTGCCTTTGTTTCTTAGGTGGGCAGGCAAAACCTGTTGAAGAATAAAAAAGCTGGTACATATTTTCTGAAAAGGCAAACTGTACATCATGCTAGAAGGGAAAAAGCAAAAAGAAATGCCTGCTTCTAGAACTTACCACAATTATATATCCTTGCAGAGAAAAACTCAAGTATTCTGGGCGGGATCAAAATCCAACAGCCTATTGCTTCAAGAGCCTATGAAAACAGCACATATCAGTTGTGACTCTGCTCATTTACAGCTCAGATTCTCACTACAGCCAGAAACCAGAGGCTTTTGCTGCCAAGTTTTTCTTTACAAAAGAGAAAGCATACCCAGGCCAAACACATTGCTAAGAAGAGATAAAAGACAAGTCTGTAAACAAGTAATAAACAATTACTGTCTGGATTATAGTTTTGGGGCACATACTAATTTTTAAGTAACCACATTTACTAAAAATTATGTTCTGATATTTCAGGTAAACATGCAGTGAGCTCCATTTTTCAACATGTTCTATGATGCATGCCTTGGATTTACTTTTTAAAGGACACAACATAACAACCTGCTCCTGTTTAGCTACCAATAATTTAAACTTTAAAAAGTCCCATTATAGTAATTGTCAGTATTAGTTTCCTAAATTCTCTACCAACATATTAGTAAGTATTTTAGTATGCCTTCCACTCGAGTATAATAGATGAACAAAAGACAAATTACAACTTCTAGGAAAACTACACTAGGAAAAAAAGATTTTAAAAATACCACCCTCCGTAGTTAAATGTAATCCGCACACACGAAATCGAAAACCTCAAAAGCAGCCAAACTTCCCTATGATTTTCTGAAACAGGTATCTTATTTGTGACCTGCTTTTGTTAAGTTCTTGGAATACTAGCAGATATTCACATTACACAAAGTCTGTAAGTCTAAACAAAGTGAATAATTTTGCAAATTTTTCTTTTCAAAAATGTGTTTCTACTTATAATACAAACAGTCATATATTCTCCCTTGTATTTTATTAATTTTCACTGTCTCAACAAATGGTAGCCACTCATTCTGGTTCCCACGAAGGAAAAAAAAAAAACAAACAAACAACTATGAGGTGCATCTAACTTTTTAAACAAACTTTCAGCCAGCTGTTAATTTGTAATCGTTGCCCTGCTTGTACAGGCTAACTGCCTTTCCAGGCATGTAAAAGTGAGCTAACGGACACACAGATTTAATGACAGCGAAATCTCAGCCAGACATTGCCAAAATGCTGTTACACGGGGGGAGAGCAGGGAGGGGCCGAGCAGATTTTTTTTTTTCACGGTTTAAATAGCCCTTTCGGACCCCGGTTATTCTATTCCCAAGCACCCCAAGAATTTTAGGGCCGCGAGGAGCGAACTGTTACATACTGTTCAGGGCTTAGCCTCCCCTGGTCGCATGTATTCACCCACCCAGCCAAATCTCCCCTACCCGCCCGCACATAAGGTGCTCTCAGTTACCGCGCTCTGCCGGGTAAACCGAGTTCGCGGGATTAAGCTGACTAATGCCATGTTTTCATAAACACCGACGGGACAAAGCGGCCACGAAAGCCGGGAGGATGCACCATCTACTACAGATATAAAAGCCGGCCAACGCCGCGGCGCCCCAGCCCCGCTCCCCGCGGAGGCTCTTCCCGTCCGTCTCTCTCCCCAGCCCGCTTCCCTGCCCCTCCTCCAGCCGCCGGGCACAGCCTCTGGCCCGCCGGCTCCGGGAGGGGAGAGCGGCGGCGTTGTATAAGCCTGGCCGCCCCTGCCTCGCTTCCCCGTAGGCGGAGGGGACCCGCAGAAATGGCGGCCGCTGTAATGGCGCCTGCCTGCTGCTAGGCGGAGCCGGGAGCGGAAAAAACCGCCACCACCACGCGGTCGCTGGGAGATTTAACCCCCTCTGCCCGGGGAGGACACAAAGGAGGCGCCCGGCGGCCCCAGACCCACCGCAGCCGGCGGAGCGGGGCGGGCTCCGCCGCCGCGACCGCCCCGAAAGCGGCGTGCCGCCACCGCTCTCCTCTGCAACCGGGCCTCCCGCGGCCGCCTCCGCACAGGCCGCGGCCGAGAGCGCCCTCCCCTCCTCCCGCCATAATTCCCGACAACTCGCCCCGGGCACAGAGTTACCAAGGGCGGGCGCAGGAAGGAGGCGGCGGCCGCTCCCCTGCCCTTAGAGAGCACCCGCTAGCGCTGCCGGCCTTCACTGCGAGCCACGCTGGCTGGGCCACCGGGTCCAGGGCCGCCCCGCTGCGGCAGCGACCACCTTCTCGCCTTCCCCTCGGGGCGGGACGGGCCGCAGGGGCCCGCAAACTGCCCTCTGCTGCCTGAGGGGCTGCCCCCGGCACCAACCAAGGCGGCGACGCTCCCCTCTACTCCTCACCCCGTCCTACCACCCTCCCGCGGGAGTCCCGGGGAGCCACGGCGGTGGCTCCCGGGGATTGAGGCCCGGTGAAAGGGGAAGGCGCGGACCTCCCCCACCGCTGTGTCACGCAACGGCGCCGAGAGGGGCGCGACAGCAGCTCCGCCAGCCCCAAAAAGGCCCGTCCCGGCCTCTGCCGTCGCGTCCCCGCACCGAGGCGCAGGCAGCGCTCCCTCCTCGGCGGCCCCGGCTACACCCCGCCGCGGGCTGCGCGTACCTGCGCCGGCCGCCGGCCCCGCCGCGTACGGGAGAGAAAGGGGAGCACCCCCACCGCCAACACGCACTTCCACCAGCGCCACCCGCCGATTGGCCCCTCCGCCTCCCCCCGCCGCAGGCCCACCGCCGCCCCATTGGGTAAGGCCGCTGCTCATCAGGGCTGGATGGGGGGGGGGGGGGGGGGGGG